CGCAGCAGAGTCATCTAGGATAGCAGGACACTGGTCTAGATTCACAGCAGAGTCATCTAGGATAGCAGGACACTGGTCTAGATTCACAGCAGAGTCATCTAGGATAGCAGGACAGTGGTCTGGAACCACAGCAGAGTCATCTAGGATAGAGTCATCTAGGATAGCAGGACACTGGTCTAGATTCACAGCAGAGTCATCTAGGATAGCAGGACACTGGTCTAGATTCACAAAAGAGTTATCTAGGATAGCAGGACAGTGGGTTAGATTCACAGCAGAATCATCTGGGATAGCAGGACAGTTACCTGGAAAGGCAGGACAGTGGCCTGGAAACCACGGCAAAGTTATCTGGGTACAGGGTGCATTGTAGATGAAAACTGAAAAATTGTTGAGTTGAAGGTTTGTGAAGTGATGCACACAATATGTGAGTGATAAAATTTGTTTGGAAAAGATGAAAATTGGGTAAGTGTTTACCACAGATACAATATGGTGTTTCAGATAGGCTTAATTGCAAATGTGATACACAGTTCAGCTTGGAAACTTAAGAATAGTTACAGTAGTATTGGCTTAGATTTCACAACAGTTATAATGTTGTCACCAGGTCAGACACAGCTCTCAGATTTCACTGCAGTTACGTGGCGTCACGTTTAATCACGAGTTACTGCAGTTATGCCAATTGGCAACAGATTCTTGTCAATAATCCAAAATCATGAAAAAAAGGGTATGGCATTCAAAACAAATATCAAAATAAGCTTTGACCAAATTTTGTCATCTTTATATTTGTTATGGATTGCATGAGAAAGCAGAGAACCACATGTGGATTGATCAAAAATAGGTTTATTACTTATTAATTTATTGAAAACATATTTATATTCAAATGGAATGGATGGAGTAACACAGTGATACATGAAATGATTACAATACAAGTCTTTGTACCTTGCACATTGTATGTTTGCTGCTACTGTTTACAAATATTTTTCTGACAACAGGCAACCTTATTATGTTAATTAAATATACATATAAAATAATACAAATAGGATTCCATGATTTATTGTATTTGTGACAAGTATGACAGTGCATTACGGGTTCAGAAAACGTATGACATAATGTATGACAAAACTACAGAAAGTGTACTACCTTGTATTACAAATGTCTTGGAGAGTACATACATGAACATAAAACATACTATCTTGTATTACAAAGCCATGGAGAGTACACATACATGAACATAAAACATACTACCTTGTATTACAAAGCCATGGAGAGTACATATGAACATACTATATTGTATTATAAAGCCATGGAGAGTACACACATGAACATAAGACATACTACCTTGTATTACAATATCATGGAGAGTACATATATGAACATGAAACATACTTTATTGTATTATAAAGCCACGGAGAGTACCATACATGAACATAAAACACATGATTGCATAAAGAATACTATATTGTATTACAAAATGATGTGCATATATGAACATAAAACATACTACCTTATATTACAATATCATGGAGAGTACATACATGAACATGATTACATAAAACATACTACCGGGGGAGGGGTATATGACAAAATCATTAAGAAAACATAAAATATGCTATATTGTGTGACAAAACACTGGAGTACATATGAACATACTATATTGAAAAGCAGAAATAAAGAGTACATCATGAACATAATACAATAAAACATGCAATATTACAGAACAATGGTGGAAGGCAAAGTATTCATACACAGTAAATGCAAGTTGGAAGAGACTTGATCTGATAAGGAAGAATACATGTATTTACAATGTACATTAGAAAGTTAGTGCAAGACATCAATATTTTGTATTTCCATCTATAATAGTACTGATCATTTCAAATTAACAAAAAAAAAACATCCACAAAATATTTAGTCAAAAGCAAAGAATTAAAAATAAGTTTAAAAATTGTCATTAATAATGATAAGTTACAAAACATAAGGTAATTAATACACTGTACTTGAAACCACTGCATATACAGCAAAGAATAGTGAAACAAAGGCGTTTAACTATAAAATCAAAACATTTGTAATTGGCCATACATGGGTATATAGACATGTAAATGAGGATACCAAATGATTCTGGTTCAGAATTTGATTATTGTATTAAATGGAACACTTGCTTTGCAAGCGATAAATATTTGTGAAAAAATATACAAGATTGTTGAATATTTGTCAAGAAACCCTCATTTCAATGTTGATGGGTTCAACACTGTAGCATTGAACATTGAGGTACATATAAACTGGTCATATCACTGTTTAACTGTGTAAAAAGGCACAAAAACAGTTTATAAAATACTGCCCCAATAAAGGCACATATGATATCTAGTTTCTATATTGCATTACAGAAACATACAAAGTTCATTACGACCATAATGATCCCAATGATAGATGACATATAACACTGATTCATCATCTTATCACTGAATATATTAGATTTATTGACAATAATACTGACCATACCCACAAACTAATCCCTAAGTTTCAGATAAATGTTAATCTAAGTCCCCCTAAGTAATTATTATTTAATTATTCTGTTTTGATTGGTGGTTTTTAACTAGTACATATATACAAGATGTACATGTTTGTAATTAAACATCATATTTACATGCAATTTACATAAGAAGACAAATAATATGTAAAATATGCAATCAATAAAAAAACAAATTAAATATTCTGCATTCTGTTGTAATTCATAATTGTTTGTAATTGTCTTTTTACAACAAAGTTTGCTCATGCGAAGAAATTAATATTTGGAAGGCATGGTGCTTGTCCCAAATAATTTTCATTATCACTAGTGTATAACATTCTCCCATAATTTGTTACAAATATTTATGTCCATAAAGTTAGAAAACAGTCATGACAACATAGAGTTTACAAATTTGTAAATTTACACCGACCCATGTTTCAACTTTATCACAAAATACTTGATCTTGTAACATTTAATACTCAAAAGAATCGTGTTTATAACAAAAAATGATGTGATTAAAAAAGTACTGTGATTAAAAACAGTTATACAAAATAACAGCTTTGACTCGGACACAAGATCAAAATAAAAAATTTTACTAGCATTAGCAAGATATTATAATACTTGATTATAATACATATTTGGTAAGTGGAAGACAATACAGCTGGGTTTCCTGAGACTGCTGTATAAGACGTAAGTAATGAAATTTGCATAAAAATACAAACTCATTTGATAAATAATCCACCCACATTTTATTTCACAAATGGCCAGCATTGTTCCTACCAATTAGAAACCTAGTTATATTATTTTCATTAAAAAAATAAACTGGAAATGGAACACAAAAAGAAAGCATAGGGAGCTATTATACTTTAGAAGATCTGATTACTTGCTTGCTGCCAGTTTTCAACTCTTTTTATGTTCATAAATAACTTTCAGACATTTCAGTTCTCAGCACATCGTTTCGTACACCCGTCAACATCTTTCGAGATCTCCGCTTCAGTTTTTCTGCTGTCCTTATTGCATCTTCAAGACTTATTCCAAGACGAATACTTTCAACCTGAAAAACAAAAGCAATAATCAATATATATTCTTTGTTGATTGTAAAAATCTAACAGTGTTTCACTAGTCATAGTTCCTGTCAATAATATCATCTACTATGATTGGCTGATAGTAGGTCACATGCCAGGTTAAGTCAAGTCAAACCCCACATTTTGTGCAGAAAACGACATTACTACGTGAAACATTCTCAGACATATACATACCATGCTGGTCACATTACTATGTGAAACATTAACACAGACGTACACATACCATACTGGTCACATTGTTATGTGATACATTTACACAGATGTATACATACCATACTGGTCACATTGCTATGTAAAACATTCACACAGACATGTACATACTATACTGGCCACATAACTATGTGAAACATTCACACAGACATACACATACCATACTGGTCACATTACTATGAGAAACATTCACACAGACATACATATACCATGCTGGCCACATTACTATGTAAAACATTTACAGACATGTACATACCATGCTGCTCACATTACTATGTAAAACATTCACACAGACATACACATACCATGCTGGTCATATTACTATGTGAAACATTCACACAGACATTACACACCATACTGGCCACATTACTATGTAAAACATTTACAGACATGTACATACCATGCTGCTCACATTACTATGTAAAACATTCACACAGACATACACATACCATGCTGGTCATATTACTATGTGAAACATTCACACAGACATTACACACCATACTGGCCACATTACTATGTAAAATATTTACAGACATGTACATACCATGCTGCTCACATTACTATGTAAAACATTCACACAGACATACACATACCATGCTGGCCACATTACTATGTAAAACATTTACAGACATGTACATACCATGCTGCTCACATTACTATGTAAAACAT